ATCTCCGCCCCGGTTCGATCGACCCAACCTTGATCCGCCCACCCCTTCTGGGTTAGAGTCACTGATACGAGACTCGGATAATGCCGTAGAGGATTTGAAGAAAGGCAAGATATCCATAGCATACGGCAGCATAACTATGGAGGATGTGGAAACCCTCTTCAGGATTCCAAAGACCCCTGTGTTTATAGACTTCCCATTCTGGGAAATCCCAATTCCCACAACAATGGGTAAGCTATCCTGACTGGAATGATATGAAGGGCATGTTGATTGATCATTGATGTAGTCGAGGACCTGAAGGATCTAGATTTTGTGACCGAGGGAAGCCTCGAGAATGAGGCGCTTTCTAGAGTTAGGATCAACATCATCCTACAAGCCGTTCTAAGAGAACAGAGGCTTGTCGCCCCCCCCCTCAAGCCAGAACTATGCACCTGGGTTTCGAGACTCCAATGAGCATCGGGCTTTCGCAAATGGCCGTAGCGAGTGGTGAAGCAGACTATTCGATACGGTATACCTCACACAAAAGCCAAGCGCATCAATTCGTGAAAATGGCGCCTTTGTTCAAGATCGACAACGAACATTGAATATCGCCAAATACTTGTATCACAATGATAATACAGGTCTAGACAAATGCGGCTGGAGTGTTGTCTGATCAGTGACTAGAGAGGTCACCTAATATGATTACGCGCTTGCTGTTGCAGTTTTCATTTTTAATAATGATTGGCTGCCTCTGTGATGAACCTTGGAATTAATTAACATCTTGGTTCGGGCGCAACTATGGCCGGGAATGGCGCTAACGGGTGAGTAGACGCGACAATGCCACCGGAAATCTTGAGCCATCAATCCAAGGAAGGCACTAAGTGTGACTTTATAATGATTGAAACTCAAGAGTGATTCTCTAGTGGTATGATGGAGGATCACGGATGGTTGGCTGGTCTATGTTAAGAATTAATAAAGATCTTCCGTCTTCGTTGACCAACGCGGTGGTTCGTCACGATTGGGTACCGCAGCCAGTCGCGGATCTCATCTCTGTCCTTAGAAGGGATCCTTGACAGCAAATAAACGTGTTATACTGCACACAGCAAACGGACTTTTTCCCCTGTAGTTATAGAGGTAGAAGGAAGGTGAGGCGCAGGGCTGGCTTGAATCCCACGGGATCTAGGCCCTAGAATGGCCGGCCTACGCGCTCGATTTAAGCCCTATAGGGCACATGGCTGGTATATAGAACATTAATATAAGGTTTCAATAGAATCAGTTTGTAGACCGATATCATTTGAATTCGTTGCATTCTTCTGCTTTTTTCGGGTACCTTCAGACTTTTGACCGACTAGTTTAATATAAAAGTATAAAGTCTCGACAAGCAAATATATGAAATATAATTTATTAGCAAAAGGATAAGTAGTTCCTATTTTCACAGGGCGCCTATCTACCTAGAAAGCCCAAATGGCCCTACTTACTATTCAATACCGCAAGTGACCGGTAGGCCAACCATTATAGAACCTCCCTCGTCCGGGCCGTAACTTCTACACACTAGAGCTGGACCGGATTTTGACCAATCTAGGCTTTCCTAAACCCTACCCGCTTCCTATTATTTTCTATCTTTTATCTAACATTTCACATAGACTGCGCCAGGAACCAGGATTAGGTCGAAAACTCGGAACCAAGACTCAACCCATAGCCCAGGTTTAGTCTTTGCATAAGCTTTGGGACTTGGCAGTCATAAACCTGGTGAATCATCAAAATAAAATACAGTTATTTCGGATTGTTTCACTATCGGATGAGTTTTGTGATAGGTAGGAATATAACGCGTGACCTTGGTTCTCTGAACCTTGGCCTAAACTGGCATCTCCTGCAGTTGCGTGATATTGTAACCGTTCGTTTACTTGGGGTACGTTGTTCGTCCCGATCTTGATGAAAAAGCGCAACCGCCGCTTGCGGAAATACGAAAAAAAGTATAATTAAATGTGCAACAATAGACAAGTGCTCAACTGCATGTCATGGGAGCGCCTAAAAATGCTAGTATAATCATACGACAAACCTGCAAACGGTTGAGAGGATACGCGGACTGTCTAATTAAACATCAAGCGTTGAGGCCAGACCCTTTTGCTGAAGGCTTTCTCGTACAAGGCAAGACATTGGCATTGCCACCATGATCAAGTTTCGAGAGAACCCTATCAGACTTGTTATCTAAACCGCAAAACTCAGCTTTGAGCCCGACTGTAGAACACATTTGTCAACCTGATGGGCGACCTTTCAGGAGCTGGCTTCATTTAGCAGCCAAACCTGAGGCACCGACAGTCGATCGCGGTACACTGATAGCACCTATACCCTAGGCTACCGCAAAGGTTACCGCAGTAATATGGTGGTTCCCAGCCACCACAGAAGGCTTGGTGTCCGATCAAGCCATTCACTAATAACATGTTACATTCCTCAGCACTTCAGGGCCAGATGCATGAGTAGTTCTTACAGGCAGTTACAGAGATGCCATTTCTCGGAAGATTGAAGCCGACTTTTTCAGCAGCACCATACTCAGCTGCATCGGTACCAAGGAGTAGGATAAAAACAGCGAGGGTACAGATAGTCTTCATTTTTGAAATGGAAATGGACAATCCCAAGAGTTGTTTGGAGGCGGTATCGCCAGAACCAGTTTCACGCTTGCTACCGAGCTCTCCGGGGTGCCTTGAGATCTGGAATAAATATTCGCACGGGTCTCACCAGCGGCAAAAGCATATTTTCAAGAATGATGTAGTCGCGCGTAATCCATGACTTAACCGATCGTTCATACTTGTCTGATTGCCTTTTTCTTTTCTCTTTTTTTTTTTTTTTTTTGCGCGCGTGGGAGTGACGGGGCTTGATGAGAGGCCAAGGCCAGCCTAGATTATTCTGGACTACTGCACTTTGTCCGAGAATTTGGCAGTTTGCAGTTGGTTTTAGGTAAACTTCGGATTAGCCCATGGCGAGCCGAGCACATCGTTGCGGTGCGATAGGGTGCAGCTTAAAGTCAAAGCCTAAAGGGGACACAGCACTGCCTAGACTTTTGCGGAAGCAACGATGGTCCAGAGCCGTTGATATCAAGAAGTGCAGTCTTGCAGACTGGTTTGTTAGTTGCTGCCGGATCCGCCTCCACCGAAGCTACACGTACAATTCGTACATAGCTAATTGCGATGCGGAGATATTTCCACGTGTGTGCAGGAACAACGCTCTGCTTAAGGGTAAGGGACGGGCTACATTCGGGCTATAATTAATCGGGAAGAATGCACGTAGGCCCAAGCACCGGTATAAATTGCATACGGTCTGCAGTGGGGCACCTTTAAGATCGTATGGTATGTAAAAGGTGAATAGAAATGTTGAATTACAGTCATGGATTAGTTTTTCTCTAGGTGACTGACAGGCATCAGTTCTGAAAGGGAGATCGGCCTTCTCAACAGCCATGCTCTCAGAAACCACAATTCCGGGATAGCCTACTCTACAGTGGTCATAAATTACTTGTTGCCCAAGTTTGGAGCCTAGTCTGACTTGGTGAGATCATGGGCTGTTATGAGACTGTGGGAAGTTGCCAGTCAGCCCTGGAACGTCTGGAATTTCCATCACCTGCCAACTCAAAACACCCGTCCACAGTGAATCAAATCCTACCAAATCGTATGTTGAGACATGGTTTGGCTTGTTATTGGTGGCGCGAACATGCTGGCATGGTACTGCAAGCGGGTATTTAAGAGTTTCGGAGCGTGGCTAGTACATGGAGACCTCACCTACTTCCCACTGCCAACTTTCACCTCCCGGGGTGTGGCACGCCAACGAACGTTCTTTTTTATACCCACCATCTGCTTAGCGCGAGTATTCAAACTTTTGGCTAAGAAGTATACTATGCCCCACTACAGCAACGATGTTGAGCTGAAAATCACTAAACCTACTCATATTATGATGCACTAATTATAACGCAAGAACAAAAAGTACAAATATTCATCTTAAGCGATGGCCACCCCAACCCCAGTGTAGCACTTTCCCGAAATCCTACATGAACATCTTATCAATTTCGGTCCTAGCAGGTTGGGTTGCAGCCTACACCGATACAACATCGACCTGGTTCAATCCGGATTGGTGGGTCTTCAGTATAGATTGGACTCGTTCCACAGCACACGTATGACATACGACCTTGAACAACACACCCTTCACAAGCATCCCAAGGCCCAAGGCATTCAAATGAGCCCCGATACTGTCCTCGCCAGCAATCTCTGTATATACAGACAGGACCAGGTTTGCAAAAAAGCTGATGATTGACATCATGGTCATGATCGTTCAGGTGACTGAGGTCGTAGTCATTATTCTTCAATACAGCACACGAAGCAAAAGCTACCCAGAGTGATAGCTGGGTTAGGCAGATTTGCATTCTGGATTCTTTCCGCGATAAGCAATTTCTTCCGGAAGAGTATATACTGCTTCGCAAATAAATAAATAATACATCAGGGACGAATTGAGTGCTTCATACCTAGGCCTGGCTGATAATATTCAGCAGTCTGGACACATGGAAGTAGCCCGAGCAATTTGCCTTGTTAACAGTATTAAAAATAATGAAAGCGCAGCCACTATTACTCTGTATGGACTGCACTTATATATCTAGTCGATTTATAATCAGAGCCATGTCATCAGATACAGCCGTAGTCATACGATTAGTTTTGACGCACGACAGTCGTCCATGGATAACATAGCTACCAAGTCGCAAACACAACCAAGGAGTGGTTCAAAACTTCTTGGCTGCTATTATATCAGTGATGCTTATCTGGTCAAGAAAGAATCGGCACAACCGCACCTAAGACCGCTTGGGAAAGCAGTTAATGGAAATTATATTTCCACGTAGTGGTATCAGGGCACTCTGAACTATTATGAGATGAAATCTTTCTTTTTATTAGGCGTTCATAGTACACCATCCCTCTTGTATTTACCATAGTCTCAACTCATTTTTTGCACCTTTAACGTGTTTCAAACCGGGCATTTCGAGCCATCCTATATTCCTTTTTATTGCAATCCGGGGGGTATGACAGCTCAGGTGACTTTTCCCTTAGGCTTTGAGGCCATTCCAGGCCTGTCGGCTTGAGTTTAAACGTCCGAATTTGGTCATTCATGACGCAAAGACTTGTAGAATTCTACTTTATCATACCAGATAAAGACTTGCCTGACATATTTGGACACACTTCTGGTTGTATTTCAACTAACTACAGTTCTCTACATATACCGTATTTAATGTGGAACATTGCTTTGAATCAGCATTTGAACGATTGGTAGAGTGCCCTAATTCACTCCAGTTTACCTACCAACTCACCTTGCATGACTGTGGTCTACGCAGCTCTCTCACCTCTATGCCTCAATATTCTAACTGTTTTTTAGTGTGCACTTACCAACATGCAGAATTTATTGGTTCTCTATGTGTTGGGTTTAGGTGTCTCAACATTGGCTACCCCGATGGATATGTCCAAAGTGGACGACTCGTTGCGCGGTCAATGCCCTCCTGTCTGTCCTGGTGGCCCATGCTACAGCCATTGGGACTGTAATCCTCGTTTTACTGGCCGCTATTGCGATGCAATCTGCGGCTACAATCCCTGGCTGGGCTGTTGTCGTTAAAGACACGTTATGTCCTTGGCATCTCCTTTAAAAAGTCAGTGATATTGTCATGTTAGGTAATTGAAATATGGCAGTGCTTTGGTATTTGATTAAAGTAAGTTTAATCTGGGATATAAAAAGTTAATTCCCTCGATGCCATCGTCCTAAACGATTATATAGCATTGAAAGTCATTGGTAGTCTGAGCTCGCTACCATGGGAATGTTTTAGCTGAATCTGTGGCTGCATAACAAAAGCTACAGTTTTCAATACTACAATTGTAGATTCAGGTTAATACAGCCGTTGATTTGAAGCGCCAATGAAACACCATAAAATAAAACCTGGGAGAAGCGTTAGCGGAGTAAGAATTTGTGACCGGGCTATCTTTCGCCTGATCTTAATGGTTCGCAACACAACAATACACCGTAAGCTGTATGGCTAATTTAGTATTTAGGATTGACGATACCCTGATGTCCGGTCGATACAAACCTACAGTGGCCAAGGATTAATGGCACCTGGCGCATATGTGCACCCAAGGTTGTAGTTTGGCTGATTTACATGGATGCTGCCAGGTCTCCAGCCACCACGGATCTGGCTTAGAAAGCTGTAGGGATGGGGTTTGAAATTGAAATATAATAAAATTTCAGACCTTTGAAATGAAGTTGAAGTTGCCAGTGAAAATTAAAATCACTAGTAAAATATGTGATATATTATAATCATAGGCGTGCCCTTGTTTTTATAGAGGTTTTACAAAGTTCGTTTAGCCTCTTTATCTTCGGTATTTCGATTTAAAAGCAGAGACCCTGAAGCTCTCTTGGCACCTCCTCTCCTATCTCAATAAATACCTCATATAGAAGACTATCTACAATTCGATGTCGATCATGGAGCTGATAGGAAGGATTAAGTGCATAAATAAGACTTCGCATCTCCTGTCTTCAAAAGAGGTTCAAAAATCTCGCTCCATTAAGGGAAACCTGAGCAACTCACTGATCAAGAGTTCTAGATGGTTCGGAATTAGGAGAACTTAGTAGTTTCTGTTTTTTTTTTCTCCTGATTCCTGATCTTGGTCTATAAGGGTCTGAGCTCCCGTGGATTTATTGACATGCTCACTTTTGACATGTGGTATTTTTGTCTCGGGTTTTGAAGCATCCCAGGCACTTACTCAGCTTGAGGAATCTACTCGCGTGATTAAGAGAAATAATTGAGACAGTATTTAGTATATAAATATTGCCTTTTTATTACCCTGGACTGTCTCAAAGCATCTTTGCGGCTCAATGTCTGAATAGCAGACGTTTTTAGCAGTATTTTGTGCCATTTTGGTGATTACGTTACTACACCCAGCTCTAACTAGAGGTTCAACTACAAGATCTTAGAACCTAAACCGCCGCGCGTTTGAGGCTAGTCCAGAAGGGGTGGAAAAGGATAGTACATTCGGTTTGCGGTGCGGCCCGTTTAGCGGGCGGGCCGGTTTAGGGTCAACGTACATTCGTCTTAAATTTCCTATATAAATTTGTAATCCACCGCCAGATCTAATTAGATTTAGATTTGACAAAATTATTTGAATGTATTTTTTGTATTGATTGTCTATTTTGCAGAGTATCAATTATTTAAAAAAAATATATTATAGTCAGTATAAATTTTATTATAAAATTTAGTTAAATCAGCTGCTACTGGCAGAATTTCTGATTATCTATATTTACTGTCCCGACTATATATTTAGAATTTATAATATTTATTTATTGTTTACTACAATATTCAGAGATAATTTCTATATATTATAAATTTAATAGAATTTTATTATAATTATCTAATTTTATTACTATTAAATTATTTTCGAAATTATAGATTATTCTATTTTTCAGAAACTCAATAAACTGTCTATTATTATTTGTAAAGTATATCAATACAGAGTATAATCCAACAAAATTGTTTACTATTTAACCGGCCAGATCTATTAAAAATTTTATATCAAAACAGTTCAGATTTAGAAAATAATTCAATAATAGAAAAATATTGTTCTGCAGATAGACAAAACTGTAATTCTCTATAAAATAGATCAAATATTGATTGAATTATTTATTTATTCCGATAGACTGCTGTACCGCCGTAACTATTTCTGATATTAATATATTGATCAAAATATCGAGAATATACAGCAACACTGGTATCAGATCTATCGCTGATCTAGTCCAGAAGGGGTGAAACAAGATAGTATATTGGAATTGGGATGCGGCCCGTTTAGCGGGCGGGCCGGTTTAGGATCAATATATATTGGAATTAAACTTTCTATGTAGACTGCCAATAAATTCCCGGATCAGATTGGGCTCAATTTTGGCAAAATTACTTGATTATATTTTTTGTATTGATTGTTAATTTTGTAGTATATCAATTGTTTAGAAAAATATATTATAATTAATATAAATTTTATTGTAAAATTTAGTTGGAATCGGCTGCTATTGACAGAATTTTTGACTATCTATATTTACTGCTCCGACTATATATTTAGAATTTATAGTATTTATTTTTTATTTATTGCAATACTCAGAAATAATTTCTGTATATTACAAAATTAATAAAATTTTATTATAATTATCCGATTTTATTATTATTGAATTATTTTTGAAACTATAGATTATTTTATTTTTCAGAAACTCAATAAACTGTCTATTATTATTTGTAAAATATATCAATACAGAATATAGTTTAACAAAATTATCTGCTATTTAACCGGCTAAATCTATTAAAAATTCTATATCAAGACAGTTTAGATCCAAAAAATAATTCAGTAATAGAAAAAAATTATTGAATAGATAGACAAAATTACAATTTTCTATAGAATAGATCAGATATTGGTTAAATTATCTATTTATTCCGATAGATTAATATACTGCTGTAACTATTTCCGATACTAATATATTAATTAAACAATTAAAAATATATAGAAATATTGGTATCAGATCTATTACTGATTTTAGGCGTAAATATCAGCCATTAATGGGAACATCAAAATCAACACTCAATCTAAACACGTCATTTTAACGCGTCAATCGATCGAGAAAGGCCCCCTGAGGCCCCAGGAACCGCTATGGAGGTCCCAAACCCCCATAGTGGTGGTCTACCGAGCGCGTCGAGGTGGGCACCCCTAAACGGCGT